GCAGCGGACGAAACGATTTTAAATTCGTCCGCCTCAGGACAGGTGGCGCCCGTAAAATATGTTAGTTCCATAATCTGCGAAACGCATAACGTTCTTCGTTGCCCAAAGTTAAAAAATTAAATAGCAATAAAAATCTTATTAAATCATTAAAATTAAGTTAAAAGTTAAATATGTAATCCTAATTTACGATAGGATATGAAAAACTAGAGTGAACTTTTCTTTCTACGCACGATGGCCCTCTACCGAACAATCAACAGAACATTCGAAATAATTTTAATGAAAATGAGGAATATAAAACATAAAGCGATTACGAACATTGATATAACATTTTGTCCTTTTAGGACTTTTTTTTCCCATAATTAGGATTTGGTTTCCAATCATTTTTTGCTTTACTGTGTGTTGGTTACATGTTTGTTTTTTAAGAAGAATATGATGATTTTTCGAAGAAACTTCCACAGGCTACTGTAATACAAGTCTTTTGGATTTCGCCAGCAAGGAAAACGGAAAATTTTCATATATTTTTGAGATACACCATAGATTTTTAAATTTGATTATTATTTGATGAGCATAAAATATGTTTTTAAATGATGTATCACATGCATTTATCATCGTGGCAAAATTTGTTTTTTTAATAGTAGGCCATGAATGCTCTCAACAGGAAAAATAAAAGTTTTGACAGCTAACTATATTATTTTCTTTTAGTAACTGGTTTTGGAAATGAGCCATACTCCAATAAATTAGCAACCAGTCTTCCAAAGATCTTGTTTGGCTATATTTTTTAACATATTAAAATACATATGCAAGACTTCTCCACAAACAATAACTTGTCTCTGTGTCTCCGCATGTCTGTTAAGAGTGATCGTGGTCTACTATAAAAAAATCTAATTTTGCTTTTGTGATCCTAAGAATAATGATTCAAGTGTACATAGAGCATAACACATCATTTAAAGACATTTTTATGCCATATCCAATAGTGAGTTATGTATTATGTAGGCCTGTAGTTCCTATTTGATGATATTATTTTTTGTCTGCATTTTTATTTTCCATTTGTAGCGTTTTATAGCTTTTATTTTTGATATAAAACGGAAGTTTTATTACTTCTTCCTGTAGTTTTAAGAAAGCCGTCTTCATTCAAATTTACCGCCCCCTAATGTCAGAAAATTAGTTGGTCCAATTGCTGGCGATGGCGCTGAAGTCGAGTCGATGGGAAGGCAATATTTTTTCAATTATTTTCTTAGGATCTGTTACTGTAAAGTTTTTCGAAACTCACTGATGAACTAATTTCAGGAAAAGAGGTTGTGATACTGTGATTTGTAACAGATTATTTAGCATGAAATTAATAGTTTCGCTAGCAATTTTTTGGAAAATTTAAAAAGGACAGAGAACAACGAAATGCTAAAGAAATTTCAAAAGAAAGAAAATTATATTTAGTTTTTTTTTTGTTTAATTTATTAATTTTGAAAAAAAAATATGGGGTCACAATATAAAGAAATTCTCAATGTAAAACATAATAAAATTAAAATATTAAATTAAACGAATAAAAGTAGCATAAACACATTGTCACCCTCATTTATGTTAACTCCTTTAAATACATTTTTCAATAAACTAATGTTTATTCATCAAAAATAAGGATATCTATATGTATGTATGTATATACACAATTTTCTCTGTGCGTGAGAAAATACAACTACCTATAGCAAGGAGGTTCTGAAAAATTGGTCGTCTATGAGGAAGACAAAGAGATATTTTCGGAAGGAATGGGAGGGGTTTGGAACGCACGCCGCTGCCAACGCGATCAACATTGGATTGCGCCGACCGTTGAGCATCGGAAACGAAAGAAAGAAAACATGGGCTGTAATTTCCGAGGCACGCTACGATTGCGTGAGCCGGGGAAATGCGGTACTAAACTCCCCCGGCATGGTCCGTTTGGAATAATCGTTCAGCGAATGGAAAAACAAAAAATTTGATGTTTTAAGATAAATATATAATCAAGGCAGATGGCATTAGTTTAATTTGTACGTGATTTTGGGGCATGTCGCCAGTGCCGAACATCGATGGGGATTTTTACCGATATTCTATGCACAAAATAATAGTTCCCTATATTCAAAAGCATATTTCGTTAAACATTACCCACAAAAATAGTTTTTTTTTAACAATAGCGATATTGTTTGAAAGAAATATCTTTTCTTTACTGTGACGACGTTACAACGAACAAACGCCTAATGTAGGGGGAGTTCTTAGACTCGATTTCACGTGCTTCTTGCACTACGTACACTTTTGCTCATTTCTTGACAGAAAAGTGCCATAGCAATAATGTGAAATTTTGCAACAAATGGAAGACGTGTCTTTTATAGGCGGGTATATATTTTCTTATTTGTGCTTAGTATTATCTATTGTAGATTTCCAAAACACCCTCGAAGGTATCGGAGGTGGTGCGCATTATCTCGAAAAGTGAGTCAAGTTTGTTTAATTTAACTATTTATGATACAATTATGAAATATTTTATATGGCAACCATTCCTATTTAGGCAACAATCCTCACCCTACTCGTCTCTTGATTAAATGCCGATATTCCCATCACAACAATAGCAATTTTATTGAGGTCTCTGTGTTTTAACCAACCGAATAATATTTTTTTATGGTAATTTTCAACGTTTTCATCGAATATATCAAAATTACAAAACTTACTTATCATTATTATTATGTTAATTGAGATGTTAAAATGTTAATTCTAATGCGTACCAAAATAACTAGAACTCTTAATCCTGATTAGATTAATGTTAAATAAATTAATACCTAAGTAAATATCAACGCTTTTGTGTTTGTAAGGATGTATTAATAAATTTTTGTTGTGGCAGTTAAAGGTGTTCGCGTATGGCTTTAGGCTATTGGCGGGCATTTGTGTCATAAAAGTTCTATAGCTATTAAAAACAAACAAAATGAAAACTATTAAACTGAACCGACCCTTGTCCCATTTTGTACACAGATTTTGAATAGCACCTGTAGCTTGTAAGATACGAGGGAAAATTGAAAAATTGGGTAGTAGATTTTTTTTCAGATGTTTTAAATTTAAAGTTGAAGTTAAGTATCAGGTTCTGTAGGTTACAATCAGCATAATTAAAATAGAAATTGATATTTTGGGACAATACAAGGTTGATTTTGCTCGAGAAATTAAAAATACAAATAATGAATGAATTTTTGTTAACAACTTTTTTTCTAGCTTGCCGCTAAATTTTAATTATCACTAGTGTATGCCCAGGCTGCCCGTGACCTCAAGAAAATGTGATGAAAGTTTTGGTTTTTTTACAAATTTTACAAGTCACAATTAAAAATCATTAAAAAAGTTTTAAACATATCCTCTTGTTATACCACAAGAAACAAACGAGACAACATCAGCAATAATTGTGCCAGAATAGCAAAACTAGAAAGAACGTTATTAAAAACATTATTTTGACACCCTGTGGCAAGGTTAATTTTCAGTTTCGGAAACAACACTATGGGCACATCAATATAAATTTCTCGAGTAAAGGAACATAATTCCTAATAATTTTTCGAGGAAACTTCCAGGCTACTGTCATACTTTTTATAAAACTTCTGGATTCCTCTTTCGTCGATTTTTGTTGAGTCGAACTAGCTAACGTTTTGCCAATCATCCTGTTGGCTTCTTCAGTGCTTGACTGAAACTGGCTCGCATTTTACACTTGTACCTGCTTTCATATTGTTTGACGGTGACGGAGCTAAACAAGGGGCATAAACATCGTCTCGGATGACTGTTGGATGTTGTTTGTAGATTTCTATAGACTCTCGGATTTTTCGTTGGGGGAAGAATTGATTAGATGCAAGAATTTTAATTTTATCGAATAAAATTTCATGGCCGGTTTCGTGATTGTGTTCGGCAACAGCTGATGAGTTTATTTGTCTTAGTCGTAAGGCTCTTTCGTGTTCTTTGAGTCTAGTTCATATTTTTCGTCCGGTTTCTCCAATGTATTATTTGCCGTATATGCACGGGTGGAATATGTTGAGAGATTTTTGCACAAGATTTACCATAGTTCTGATGTTATATTTCTTTAGAACTTTTGACATGTGGTCAGTGATGTTTGGAATATAAGGAAGGACAACAGCGGCAAGCGTGGGATTGTTTTCGGTTGCATTGCTATTGGAAGGCTGTGGTGAAATGTATTTTGCGATGGCACGCTTAGTATCTTTAATGTGGAAATTATTAGAGAGAAGGTGTTAATTAATTCAATGACTCGGGCTGCGTTAGTTTTACGGCTCTATAAACAAGAGAGTTGATAACCGACGATTTTTGGGCCGGACGGAGGGATCCATCAGCAGGAGGAATCCAGAACTTTTATAAAAAATAATTCCTAATAAATAATAATTTTATTATCAGAATATTCGAAAACGTAAAATAATGAAAAACATAACGTAACTTCTGTCAACAAATTGCCACCGACCGAATTTTAAAAATCGCCAAATTTCAATTTTCATAATCACGGAATTTACCATCGAACATCCGAAATCCGTTAAGCAAATATATGTCTGTGTACTTCTTTTTAAATTTGCATTCGCAATTCACGCTACTATATCAACAGTCAACGCAAATACAGAGAAAACGGAAACGTGGACGAAAGAAATTCTCCAAAGCTTGCTTGCGAAGCCTAAGAAGACCATTTAAATAACAATAAACTCCGGTGAATAAAACGGCGTCCAAACAACTCGAACCGTCTGATCCATTTACGAACTTTTGACGGCACTGTACAATTTGTTTTCCCCCTTCGACGAGCGCGGGGGTTGCGCGGGGCCGGGAGGGAGGAGAAGGCCGAGGGAGGACGCGTGGTTCCACGTCGTTCCGGCTGGTGAGTTGAGGGCCCCCTCGGAACCCTCCCGACCCCCGCCCGCCCCGCGGGCCGACAAGAAAAGCCGTTCCCTTAACGATCGATAACACGGATATGGTTCGTTTGAAGTAAATGTGCCGCGGCAACATTCAGTACGCCTCACCTGCAGTTCGTCGCGGGTGACGTCGATCTCGCCCTTGTAGACGAAGTCGATGATGGACCTGAGGTCGCCGAAGTCCACGTCCTGGGGCATTATGATGGTCGGGTGCTCGCACGGGTTCTCCAGCAGCAGTTTTTGAAAGTAGGCTGAGCACGCGGACAGCACGACCTGCGGGACAAACACCGGAAGCTTTCTCATGCGATATTTTATAGTTTCCTACCTTGTGCGCTTTGAGGGACAAAGTGTCGCAGGCGAGGGTGACGTCGACGAACGCCTCCGTTTCTAGGAGCTGGTGGAACACCGAGGTCATGTTGCTCTGGTAGTTGTTCCAGCGGAGGCAGTAGTGGTCCTTTTCCATCGTCTGCGAAGGAAATGGGCGTGGTTAGCTTCGAAACGGACGCCTAAACGGCATCTAAGTGACGTCACAAGCCAGTAGCAGCCAAATTCCCTAGCAAGCAATTGTCCACCGGATGCCGGGTGTTTTTGATGTACAAAATAAAAAAAATGTTTTTTAAATTGGCTCTCTTTTGAATGTATAATTTACTATCTCAGCATATTATAATAGTACAATTAAAATTTTTGAAGTCCAAATAATTGGCGAATTTAAATGATTCTTTCAAGCTACGTTTATCTTATTATTATTATTATTTCGTATTTCTAAAAAAATGCAACTATATATTTAATATTACAATGTCTTTTGTGCCTTAAGTGGTGTGGGACTTTACATTTATATATTCCATATTTCGAGAGAACGTGTTAATTCGATTGCTACAATTGTCATTATTTGATACGGCGTCTTTGTAAATTTCAACATTCCACCCTTAGCTAATTTTGTGAGATTAGAATAAAAAGGATTAACCTTATCGGTTTTATTAGCACAGGATACAAATGCCGTGATCAAAAAACTATAAAAAAAAAACATTCTTCGTTTTCTGAGTTGCGTTATGATACTGAAAGGATCGCTTCCTTCACTAACTTTGGTTAGACAAAGTTAAAAAGATGTAGCACTTGAATAGAAGACTCTTCATTTATTCTCTTTCAAAAACCCCCCAGTGTGGTCAGTAATAAGAGACAATACATCAAAAAAATGTTAATAACAAATAGAAAGAAAATTACAGATTCCGTGCCAGCGAAAACACCACAAAAAATGATTAAGCTCGGTGCCATATTTGTTGCCGCCGCCCAGCCGGATCGATCCAGCAACACGAACGACCGAAACCACCCTAGGCGTCCAAAAATAGCCCGCCCTCGGTAGGAAACCTCCCGAGGGCCACACGGCGCGTGCAGCTGTCTCTGGGAAGCATATTTTCGAAGCCCCTCTGCGGAGGAAGTGAAGCCGTGCGAAATGTAAAACTTCGCACGAGTAACAGGCCTCTCTATTTGATCTTTTTTGGGTTTTCGCGCGGAAAGCGGCCCAAATATTCTCTCACGTTGCGCCCTTGTCTTTGGAACGAATCTCCGAGCACGCCGAAATCAGTCGGAACCTACTGGGAAACATACTCTCGAAGCACCTCGCGCAGGAAGTGAAACTGTGCGAAATATAAAGCTTAAGACATGTAACAGGCCTCTCACTTCCATCGTCCTTGGATTTTCGCTGGGAACACGCGACCGGACCATTCGAAAACGACCCAAATAAATATTCTTCCACATAGCATTCCAGGGCTCCGGAACGGGCCACCGAGCTCACCGAAATCGGCCGGAACCTACAGATTTTTTTCTCTCTGCCGGTATCGCTTTCAATAAGATTGTGATATCCCCTGCCCGGCAGCCTTCGTTAGTTTTTCGAAAAATAGGTTCGGTTACGTGGTAAAAAAAATCTAAAACGGTCGAGTTGGCTTTGGCCGGCCACAGACCGTAGCCGACGCGACTGTTGCAACCGCTTCCTCTGACCAGAAATACCGTTTCTTCCGCAAAGGGCCAATAAAGAGACGAAAGCGGCGCGTTCACGTGCGTCTGAGTGCGTGGGGATAGGTCGGTATGGTGGCGCCGGGACGCGATTCGAACGTTGGCGCGGTTTTTCCAACGCTCCCGATATATTTTTTAAAGGTTTCAAATTATGCAACCGCCGGTCTAGTAGGCTAGGCAATGAACAGGATCCTTACCTGCGCTTGCCGAGACCCCGAACTCTAGTCACAGCGAGAATAATAATGATAATTCATCTCGAAATAAAAAAACGATTCTAAAACCTTACGTATGCATGCGAATAGAACAGAAATGCTCACTATTTTGTTGTGGATCGAAATTCGTTTCTCTCTCCTCTCTCATCATCACCACACACTCTCTCTTTTCAGTTTTCACCGCGCTTCCTCTCTCTCTCTGTCTCCGTATTCTATTTCCCAGCGCCCGATGGATCCCCCGGCTCGGATTCGGACGCGACAGTTTTCTGAAGCTTGTCGGGTACTTCGGTAAGCGGCGAAAGCTCGCGCGGCGATTGGTTCGCGAGTCGGCGTACGTGCGCATTGCGGCTACGCGCACCCGCGTGACGTCAGATGTCCCGCGTTCCGGCCGAGCCGCGCTCCGTGCTGGCGCTCTAGTGATCCGGTTGCTCACCGTCGCTTTTAGTTCGAAGCCGCCTCATGAAGACTCAACACTAAGATTTTCGTCATCTCTTTAAAGAGCTGATACCTAAGTGAAAATAATTGTGATATTTAGTGATAGGTGCCAAATAAGGTAAATATTTGAACCACCGTTGAGACGAAATCGCGAATTTTTCGGTGCTTTTTATTTTTTCCGCTCGCTTCACCTGGTCAAATGGCACGTTGGGTTGGGCGACTCCACGTCCCCGAGCTTTCGGTGTTTACAGTCGCGCGAGAAAGCTCACGCTGCGTTCTATTTGTAACCGCACGCGAACCGTGCGTTTCCGCGCTATTTTTGTCCCGATCGGGTGGAAATTGGAATTTCTAGGCTTTTTTAAAAATCCGGGCCTCGCCATTTTTCCATGTCGCCTGGGAAAATCGGCCATTGTTGGTTCTCCATGGCCAACGCTACGCTTTCCCGTTGCTGGTGATGATGACGGGCTCCCCCCTCCTTCCACTTGCGCTGTCGACGTGGAAGTTGCGTTTGAGCCGACCGAGCTTGCGTGCTGAGTCCCTCTCGCGTACTTTTCGATCGAGTTCAGAAAATTCCGTCGCGCCTTGACCGCGTTCTCCATTTTGGGCCGATTTCTCCGACGCCATGTTGGGGTCATTGATTTTTATTTTCCCGTTAGAATTTTTCCGGATTTTCGAACCGGACTTTGAAACGCTTTGACCTGAATTTGCTCGTTGTCGTTACGGGTGTGGAAAATAATACACTTTTTGCCTACGTTGCCGATTTGTCGAATTTTTCAAAGCGTTGTCGGGTAAATGTTTGCGTTTTGAAATACAATTTTTTTTTCGTTTTGGAACCTGATTGCTCTCTTCGGTTGGTTCTAATAATTGCTTTCAGATGCGACGTGCCGGACGGTTTTTACATTCTTGTTTCGCTCGTTTCAGTTTATTAAAATGGATGACGACCAGCAGTTCTGTTTACGGTGGAACAACCACCAGTCCACGTTGGTAGCGGTATTCGACACATTACTAGAGAACGGTACGCTGGTCGATTGCACGTTGGCCGCGGAGGGCAAGTTCCTCAACGCGCACAAGGTGGTCCTTTCGGCGTGCAGTCCATATTTCGAGGCGCTGCTGTCTCGGCATTACGATAAACACCCGATCCTCATACTGAAAGACGTGAAATTCCAAGAACTGAAAGCGATGATGGACTACATGTACCGCGGCGAGGTCAACATATCGCAGGACCAGCTCGCCGCCCTCCTCAAAGCGGCCGAGTCCTTGCAGATCAAGGGTCTGTCCGACAATAAGAAAGACGAGCCCAACAGGAAACCGGCGGCGACGGCGCCGCCCCCCAAAAGTCCGCAACCACAGTCTGCCCTGCCGAAAGTACAGGGACTGACGATAGAGCAGCGCAGTCGGGATGACAGGTGGGTGTCGATTAAAAATTCAATTTCAGTTATACAAAATATATATCTGTATATGTACATATATAATAATTTGCAAAAAAAATTGACGTTTTTCTCCTTGAAATTTTCAATTTATATATTTTATTTAAAAATTCCAACTTTCGTATTTTATATTTTTCGATTAGAAAATAAACAACCGATGTTGTATGTTTTTCAGAATTCTATTTTTCTCGAAAATTTTTCAGTTGTACATAATGTATTTAAAATTTTCCAATTTTCATAATTTCTATTTTTCAATTTCAAGCCCTTTTTAATTTTTTTTTTATATGGAGGTGACGTTTTTCTTGAAAATTTTTGATGAGTTCGTTTTGAATTTGAATGATGGTTTTTGAAAAAAAAATCCAATCTTTGTATTATAATTTCTGTTAGGAAAAGAGTTACTTATTTCAAGGTCTCGTAAAATGTTTATTTTTATTTTCTTATATTTACATATATTTTGTATATTTATTGTATTACTTATTGTTACTTATTTATATACTGCGTTCAAGAAGAAAGCGCAGCAGCACCGAATTGTATTTTTTCGTGTTTATTTCTCCCACCCTTCTCTTTTCGCTTGAGTCATTAATTTTTTTTTTGTTAAAGTTATGTTGACGTTTATGTTTATTTTTTATTTGAATAATTGAATTAATTGAATAATAAAGACACAAACTAAAATTCTGTTTATAACCTGTTTTTTTTTTGCATAACAATTTCTGCACAGTCTGGAACTTTGCCTTTATTGCCTAGCTTCTTAGCTTCTAGGTTCACCATGGTGGTGTCAAAATTGTCATGTTCTTCTATTTTGAAGGCGCATTTTTCTCTACTCACTTGAGTCGGATTAAATGTTTTATGAGTGGTGATGCTACTGACTGTTTTTTTTTTATCTTTTTTGTTTGTTTTTTAATAGACTGGAATCATTTTAATTCTCATTTGAAATTAAGACGAAACTAAAATTCTTTTGCTAACTGCTTTTTTTTCATTACTCGTTTAGATAACTTCTGCAAGGAGAGTTATTGTCCCAAATTTAGTTTTTTCGCAGGTCATTTGCAAAATTTGAGTTTTCAACTTTTATATATTTTCTTTCCTATTTCAAAACTTTCATAAGATTTTGTTGAATGGAAAAATTTGAATCTGGAGTAAGCGATCTGATCATGGCGGCGTCAAAATTGTTGTTTTTCTATTTTGTTCCGATAATGAATATTTGGAGGCTTTCACTATGAGCTTCTATCTAAAGGTGTTTTTTTTTTCGTTCTTGCAGAGAGGGTTCGATGTCGCCCGGTCCGCGCAAGAAAAAAAGGATGCGGCGCAAGAGTGAAGAGATGGACAACCACAACGACCACGCGTCCAACTCGTCGGACGCGCACAGCCTGCCCGCCACCAACATTCCCACGACCGCACAGTTACCCGCCTCCGTTAAACTGAACTCGTCCGAAATCGCCGCGCCCGAACAAATCGAAACGAAACAAGAGATATTGAGCAGGCACGCGAAAGAGGAAAACGTAAGCACCGGCCAGTCGCAACACCAGCAGCACCAAGTTCCTATCATCAAAGAGAAAATCGAGACTCACACGGAACTGATGCTCGAACCGAAATCCGAATACGTGGACGAAATGAACGAGGACAGTATCGAGGACTTGACATTGGACGACGACGACTTGAGCAATATGGAACAAATGGACGACGGGGCGGGGCCTAGTCACGGCGGCGAGGGATCGTCCCAGCAAGGTAAGAGACGACGTCGTCCTCTCTCCCCACCGATCTTTTAAGTATTACTATTTCGTATCGGATTGATTTTCTTGTGTTGATTTTTCCTAGATTTTCGTAGAAACAAATTAAGTTTCTGATTATGTGCCATCAAGCGTGTTTTTTAACTAAACTGTTGACGTTTGGGATTGATTATAGCGATCGGAAATGAGGGGTGGAGTATTTTTTTTGAGAAGGGAAATATAGCTTATAATCTTCTAAAAAAAAATTCATATAGCGTGTATTTTGATTTTCATTAAAGATACTCTTAACTAGTTTCATTGCCAATTATTATATTTCCAAAGGGATGATTGCTATTAATAAATTATGACTGAACAACCCTAAATCGGTTTGTTTGGGTCCCAAACTTCCCACGGCTTTTGGTTATTATTTTGAACTTTATATTTTTATTTATTTTTTTTTTTTCAGAAAGCTTTCAGGTTATTTGTTTACGCTGTTTTTTTAGGTAAACTGTGCGGTTCTGGGCGGCGTGTTGTTCAAATGTTTTTTTTTTCCTGGCGGTTTGTTTTTCGGGAGGGCTGTTTTTGTGGCAGCACTTTGGTGGTCCGATTTCGCTACTTTCGATTTCGGGCCTGTCCCATCGTCACCCTTTTATGTTTTCATTCTCCCTCTTCGCAAAATATTGCGAATAATTTCGAAAACGCGTCGCCGCTGTTTGGCGACTTCCCGCTTTGGAAGCTCGCACTTGCAGAGCTCGTTTCCGAAATTATTGGCGATATTTTTCCGTCGTTTTCTCCCTTTCAGCTGTCCCGATTCGGCTTTATCTCCGCAAGTGGGATTTAAAAAAATGGGATAATTTCGGAAACGCTCCGCCGGTGTCTTCGGGCGTCTATACTTTGGGAACCCGGACTGCAGAGTCGTTTTTCGCAATTATTCGATTTCTTTTAAATTCTCCCCGCTCTTGGAGAGGACACACGCGAGATATTACGAGCAGTCCTCGAGGTTGGGAATTTCTGTCGCCGTGACACCACCCCCCGCGCGCCCCGGCACGAACTAAACCAAAACCGTTTTTTTTTGGTTTAATTCTAGATGGAGGAGGCGGTTACCGCCACCTGGCCTTCTATGTGCCGGCGGTCGGGGGTGGCCGCGGCGGCGGCTTGGACGCCGAACCGATCGACGTTAGCCCGTTGTCTGCGCGGTTGCGCGGCCACATCCGAAAGTATTCTGCGCGCAGCGTCCAGGGCGCCCTCGACGCCGTGCTTAACCGCGGCACAACCGTGACGCAGGCGTCGATCGATTTCGGCATTAAACGAACCAGCCTGCAACATTACCTCAAACGTCTGAATATCACGCTGCGCCTGAACCACCGCTATTATTGAATTAATAAATTTTTAAATTTAAAACTAAATCCATCCGATACGCAACACTAACGATGATAACCCCGCGTGCGCATCACCGAAACCGATCGTTCTTGTTTATTGATTTATATATTTTAATTTCTTCCCTCCACGCTCTTAGGATTCGGACAATGGCATATGGGCAATCAATCGCAAGACGAAGTGTTTTTGGCCGCGCAAGAGGCCGTCGGTGCACACAGGGACTCTCAAGGTAAGATTTTTGTTTTATTTCGCACCGGGCCGGTTGGACGCGTTTGAAACAGGCCTCTTCACTCGACGTCACTCCGTCATCGACTATCAAAATATCGGTCGCGCTCGCGTCTAGGCCCCTTTCAGACCGGTCGACGGGCTAACGCCCCACCCTGCGGTCGTATGGCGAACTCGACCCCTTGCCCCAGTCTCCCGGTCTCCGATTTTTTTTATACTTTGACTTAATTTATTTTTTTCCAGTGATTTTATTACTTTCACCCCGTCCCACCGGTTTTTTGGGTAGCTTGTTGATTATTTTAACGTTCCTGCTTGTGTATAGAGCCCCCCGTTCACACCGTTGCTTTGTACCCATCACCACAATCACCCCGCAACTTTTTAGTTAGTTAGCTTTTGATTTTTTCAACCGCTCTCCCTCAGGATTTTTGTGCGATTTGTTTTGAAGTCTTATTTTTTTCTGAAGTTTCTCAAGTGTCTTGCGCCGTTTTGCCACAAACGGCGCGCGCACCTCCTCGAGCGGGCTTTTTTTTTTTAGTATTTCGTCGTCGGTCGCGATTTTGCGACGAGGTAAGCGGAGGGAGAGCGGCGCGGACCAGATCGTTGCCTTCGCCTTTTTTTTTTCGTTTTAATTTTTTTTATGTAGCCGGGCGAGTTCCGTGTCCCATTACTTTCACATGGGACAAGGGCCGCCGCCGTCACTTGGCTTTTTTCTTCTATGGTCATGGTTCGATTCGATTTGATTGATATGATTTGGCGAGGCGACGGTTCGGAACCGCTCCCATACGATCGGAGACTGCAGAGTCTCGGCGTAATCTTTACAATTATTTTGTGTTTAATTTTGTACCTTCGCCTTTTGTCGATTATTAAGTTTGCGACGAAACGAGAGAAAAATAAAAAAAAGCTTTGCCATACGACCGCGGACGGGCCCCCCTTTCGTTTATTTTCTTCGTTTTTGGGTTTTTTGTATATTTTCTATTAATTTTGGGCGGCGGCATCGGACGAGCGACGCCCACGCGCGAATCTCCTTTTCGAGGGGTTTATTCCTCGACGACGCACGATTATTTTGTGCGTCGCTTGTCCGACGTCGTTCCGTGTTGTTTCCGTTGGCCTTCTTACTCATTTACTTTTTCTCCGGTCTAACACGATTTTAATTGTAAAATCATGTGCATGCATTATTTTTCAAATTTAACTGTGTACATTATTTTTCTTTCCCCCCTTTTTTGTACTTTTCGTCCTGCGTATTTTTCGCAAACCGTGTGTACGCGGGCGCGTACGGCCGGTTTCGGTCCTACGCGCGACTCCCCATGCAAAGTCGCCCAGCGGTCCGACCTACTTTGCCGGGTCGCGTGGGCGACACTGACACGCAAGCCCCACCAGGTTTCCGGCGGGGCGGCAGCAGCGCGACGCGTCTGAAGACGTAGTTTTTTACGTTTTGTTTCGCGCGCGCTCTTTTTTTTATTGAATCTGGAAAATGGCCATTCGAAAAGTCCGCGGAAACGTCGCGGGGTCGTCGTACTTTGCCGATGTCCACGCGCACGCCTTATTTTCCTCCGGGGTTTTCGGTCGGCGATTTTCTTAATTTCCTCGCCGCAGTGCGAAGTTTTTTCGTCGCTGCGGGCGAGCCACGTCTACACATTTTCGCGTCGACGCTGCCATTTGTTGGCGTCGCCATGCGTCTCATTTTGCGGGCGGACCTCTTGGTAGTCGCTTTTTTGCGGACTACGAGGGGTGCGTTTTGCATTTTTTGACAATGCGGCAACGTAGTCGTAATACGTTTTGTATTACGGTGAGGTAAAAATTGGCGGCTCATATTAACGGTGTCAAATTAAAAAAAAAAAACTGAAAGGTGGGTACGAAGCGCCTGCGCATTTTTGTAAACCTAACCTCGGTGCGTGTGTGCCTGTTCGAACGGGGTGTGCTTGAGTAGAGGGCCAACTAACCCGGAACCGCGTCATCCCCGTTATGGTTTTTAATTATTCGGCCCGCGGTTTTTCCACCTCCTCCCACCGCCGGCCGTCATACTTTATTGGCGACACGAGCCCCGGGGGTCTGGCGGTCTTATCGCTGGCCGAACGGTTGCGAATCGGAACGTGGGCAGACGCGCGTGAACGTGCGCGGTTAGGCTCTATGTGTGTGTGCTGCGTGTGCGTGCATCCCTGGAAGAGAGGTTATGTTTGCAGAAACGGTGCCGTCGTTCAAGTGCGCGAGGTGCGGCCGCGGTTACTCCGTCCAATACACGCTCGAACGCCACCTACGGTACGAGTGCGGGGTGGCGAAGCAATTCTCGTGCGGGGTTTGTTGGAGACGCTTCTCGAGGCGTGACATTTTGAGGAACCATGAGAAGAAGTTTAATCATCAGTTCGAGTGAGGGGCACGTTTCGGTTGTCGCTGACGGCTCGCGGGGTTATCGGTTTGTCGGGTCGTCAGGGACGGCCGAAGTCGTCGCCGCCGCTACGTCTTTGGGTCGGGGAAGCAGGGGTGGTTGGGTTGGTGGGGGAGGTACTGGGGTCTATTTCCTCGTCGACGGAAGATTTTCCCGTAACCTGATTTTGTCGCATTTATTGCGCCTCTTCCCACAATTCTGCCAAGTTTTTCCGTCTACTGCAATTTTCTGCCTACCAACGAGAGCCACGCTTCACCCCGTGGTAGTCGTCCTAGGAGGAGGACGGCGACCGGCAACTGCTCGAAAGAACGGTGAGTGCATCTTTTATTTCATGAAATCTATTTCTTAGACTGCCGTCTCCGGATGTTTTACTTTACAAACTCGGAGGCCGCTTCTTATTTTTATTTTTCCTCTACTTTACGAGGAACATGTTCTCTGCCGCAGAAGGAAATTCGCATATTTTTTCATTGTCGCGCAATTTGTCGGCGTCAAGTGGGGGAGGGAAAGAAGCTAAGGCAGTGTGCGAATTTCCTTTCATTATATTTACAAAAGTATTAAGCGGTTTTGTTCCGTTGTTGCAGAACACGTCTTCCCGCCAGACGTTTCGGTGCCCGCGCGTCACTACGCCATCAGTATTAAATGACGTTGTAAAATATTTAACGCAATTGAGGGCAGTTGTTAATAAAGTTTGTTTTTAGAAACTCGTTATCCTAATTTGCCGACCCGTCACTTCCTCCCAACTTGGTTACTGCTTTTTTTTTTTGTTATTCTGTTTCGCTCCGCTGTGTGTGCGCAGTCGTTCACGAGATCGAAAGCAGTAGTTAAGGTGCGCCGAGGCTAAACTAAGAGTCGTAGCAAACCAAAAAAAAAAGAAAAAAAATCGAAACGGCGAAAAGTACCGACGACGTACGAGACTCCCAACTAGTACAGCAGTGTGTTTTTCTAGGAGAGGGTGGTAATTGGTACCTAAGGAAGCTCGAGCACGAGGCGGGCTTTCCCTGCCACAATTGCGGCAAAACCTACAAACACCGTGGGAACATGCGCCGCCATATGGTGTACGAGTGCGGCAAACAGGCCAAGTTCCAATGCGCTTGTTGCGATCGAAAGTTTCATCAGCAAAGCAATTTAAAGAGGCATTTCGAAAATAAACATCGCGTGTACGATCGCGCGGTCGCCGCCTCGTTGCCGAAATCTTTGCCCAAATTTAGCAACAGTATTACCGTTTACAGGACGACCGCCGTCCACGGTCCCGTGGATTATTGAGCAACCTCCAAAATTTTTATCCGCCGGAGGGGGGAGGGAGGGGTCTTTTCTCGATCGCGCGCCTGTCGAACAAAATTTTTGGTGGTCTGCTGGGTGGAGTCTAGAGCGGATATCGTGGCTTTCAACTGCTGAGTATAGGGTCTTCGAGTAAAAGCTTGAAAAAAGGCGCAAATTTCTTGGGGGAATACTTGCTCTTTCGACGTTGGCATCGATTTTGGCGATTCCTGAAATGTTCAAGTATTCGTGCTGCCTTGCGGCGTAGGTGGCGCCCCCGGCGGTCGTATATGTATAACATACCAAACACCTTTGGTGGACGGTGCTCATTGGTTAGGGAAGGGGGGACATTTGTACATATGGAGCGTAACCAAGAACTAGTCTTTATTTTGTGCCATATTGTCAGATCGAGTTACCAAACTATGTGAAACTATACCAAAAAAAAAAGACACTGTACATATAACCCTAGTACCTAATAATGGAATTTTGCTGTGTAACTTTGCGTGTAGAAACTAATATATATACAGAGTGGAGTTCTAATTTTTCTCTCCCGCATCGTGTACATACGCGGTTAACAGTGTGCGGAGCGTCTGCTGGTGGTGGGGAAGGGGAGGGCCCATAATCGTAACCTCGCGAAACTCCGCCCCAAAAACTCTTCCTCGGGTGTGCAGCCGGAAGTTGTAAGGGGTCGGAGTGTCGTCTGGTTGGTTAGTGCGGGTGATGCGCCGTGCGGGTGCCGTGGATTTACGTGCCCAGCTCCCGTACGGTCGGTGCCGGGGGAAGAGAGGTTTTGGTGTCTGGGGATTTCCACGTTTTCGACGTCCCGAACGCTCTAATCTGGCACTAATAATTTTCGTTAAAGGTTTTTATAACGAGTTTTACTCGGATCACCCCATTTTACTGCACCTGTTGACCCGAAGAGACGCCGACGGTTATTACTGACTGCCAATCGACGCCACCGCCACGGTGGAGAAGCCGCCCATTTTTTGGTTCAATAAAAGGCATACCGTTTGTTTCGTTTGCGAATTTGGTTTTTTTTCCTGCATTTTTTTAGTTAACGCGCGCGCGCCACCCTCCCTGCTTTTCGCCGACGGCACTCAGATCCGGTAATTGTGTTTTTAGCCGCACACAGACCGCACGCTTGCCACCAGTGCACGAGACGCTACAAGAGCGGGAAAGCACTGGCCAATCATTTACGGTACGAGTGTTACCGCGAGAAGAGGTTCGTGTGCGAGGGGTGCGCGAGAGGGTTTCACCAGAATGCCAGTCTCAGGAGACACGTGCCGGTCTGCAAAAAGTTTAAAACGATCGGAAATTGACGACGAAACACTGTCCCTTGCGCCAGGATTTTTCTTTTATTTGCGTCTCGCCATCTCAATTTTGCTCGATATTAAAAATGTGTTAAACATACACGAGATTTGTCATTTATCACGACGATCGTTGCAGTTTAGGACGGCGCAACTCGTGACATCGCCACGTATGGGTTTGTCGTGCTGCGCGATTTTCAGGTGGAACCACTCGGATTCTATATCGTTGCCCCGTCTTCGTTTTGGGTTGCTTGGTGGCGGGCGATGGAAATATTTAAAATTGTGGTTAATGTATTGCTGCATTTTCCTAAAAAAAAAAAATCGAACTAGCAACAATAAAATTATTTTTCAGTTATTTAAAATTCCAGTTAAAATCTCCGAGTAGCTCAGAAGTGGTGAATCCCTGCCCGAGGTATTAGCTAAACCAAAAAACTGACTGCCATTCTAAGATAAAAAAAATATGGTTATTAAATCCCAAAATAACGCAAGATCTAAAGAAGACAGCTGGGTGACAAGTCATCTGTTTTCGAGCTCCTGGTAACCTCCGATGGAGGAAAGTTGGAAGAACTGCAAAAATCATGCACACCAGCTCTTGGAACGTTATATCTAAATCATAATAATTATTAAATTGATTAAGTACTAATTGTATATAATTAATAATACTTTCATTTTGATTAACTAAACTTTGGAAATTTTAACTAGCAATGAACAATGAATTTTTTTAGTAAATAAATAACAACAATTATACAGGGCGTACCAGTTTAGTGCAGAATTGATAGCACTTACCGACAAAATACATCGAATTCACACCTAGCGGAAAAAGTTATAATCTTCGTAATGCAACTACTTTTCGACTTACCCATAAGTGCAAATATAGGCAATTAAACTTTTTTTTATAGAACTTTTTTAAACTATAACGGCAGTTTTCATCTGGTAATGGCAGTTTTGAGATAGGCGTCAGTTTCCCTTTCGACGTGCGCTACTGAACGTATTTTAGTTTATTTTGTAGTTGGCCAGAATTATACGAAATTTGAGTGAGGTGCTAATTTCTTAAAATGAAAATGGCATCTATACGAAATTGTTGTTTATGTCCTAAATAATAATAACCATTATGAACCTTTTCCCTATGTTTTTGAACAAAACCGCCTGTCAAATTTTGTATTTAAGCGTAACTGAAATCGTCCGGTGGCGTACTTCGAATGAGAAATAGTCAATTATATCAAAAAACTTGTCGAGATACATTTTTATTTTCATTTTAAAGCTACTAAATTTAATAAATTAATAGCGAGTGAATTAATCAATTTTGTATTAATTTTGAACGTAATTAATTGGATACTATACGAATTAACATTAATTAAGTGCGCTCCCCGGTGACGAGCGACGGAGACTCATTTTCATTTTCAAACCACTAAATCAGCCGCGTACGCCCTGACGTACCCTGTATATTATATGAATTTAAATTTAAATTTGGTTGAGTAATTAAGTAAAGATGAAAACGATAACCAGTGAAATTAACATAATTAATTGCGTAATATACTAATTAAAATCAATTAAATGCGGACGTCGTTAATGGGCAAGAAAAATTTTCATTTTTTTTTAAAAATCAGTAGCGTATGGCTGACCAGTTGTGATTTTAATTTGGTTGAGAATTATTAAATAAATAGGACAAACGATCACGAGTGAAATAATTAACCTAATTAGAATTAATTAAATTACTTTTCAAGGTCATTAATGCGTTAATTTTTTGCATAATATACCGAATGAAATTAATTAACCAAGAAAATAATTCAAAACGGAAAAATTTAAAAAAATCAAATTTGAAACCCCCCCGGACCAGTTGACCAACCCTAAACCGAGGCCGGTTTTTAACGAGGGGTTCCGAGAGGGTGCGCGTTTACCTGGGACAATGGGCGGCATCGAGATTCCTTCCCCCCCGGGTACTTTCTCACCCCTCGGTACTGAAACGATGGGCTCGAGGGTCCGTTCTCCCTCGCGTCTCCTTCAGTTGGTGTGTGTAGCTCGTTTCGGTGAACGCACGTGAGTTAGTTTGCTGGGGCCAGTTTTTAACGAGTCCCAGTCGCCATTTTCGCAAGGGCGGAATTTAAAACGAAATAATGGACGGGGATTTTAAGGGCTTTCGCTTTATTTTCTTCGTTTTTGAAAACATTGCGCGTTGTGGTTTTTCGATTTTCATTGAAAAGATAAAATTTAAAAAAAAAGGATAAAAAATAAAAATTATTCGGAAAATGTCTTTAGCTTGGACCAACTGTCTGCCTGTTGGGCGGTAAGAAATTAGGAAAATATTCAATTTTGGGCTATTGCTGTTTGAACCGGATTACCGAGGAGGGCGATCGCTTCCTTTACAACCGCTGCGTTTACTCGGGACTACTCTACCCCTCGGAAGTTTCACGGCAGCGGCGTCCGCGACATTTTTTGTTTTATCACTCACACTTTTATTTTCTTTTCTTAGTTTTGGTTAGAATTTTTGTATTGTAAAAAGCGCTCACTAAGCACATTTGTTAACCGATACATTTTTCTTTTTCTTGCGTTTTTAAAGAATAGTTTTTCAGGAAACCTAGGCTGGTGGGAGGCTACCAGTCCATGTGTTTTTAAATTCACTTATGATTTTTTTTTAAATGAATTTTAAGAACATTTGCTGAACCTTACCGATGCATTTTTCTTTTTTTTGTGTTTTTAAGGAATAATTGCAAAAAAACTTAATCTGTTCCGAGGTTACAAGTTGTCCTTGTTTTTTTTTAAATCGACTTTTGACTTATCTTTTGCTTGCTAAATTAATGTCGACCACATTTGCCTTGTTTTAGACTGGAGGGAGGCTACCAGTCCTCGTGTTTTTAAGTTTACTTTTGATTTTTTTTTAATAAATGTAATTTTCTTTTTTTGCGTTTTTAAGGGATAATATCAAAAAAACTTAGGCTGTTGCTAGGTTACAAGTTGTCCTTGTTTTTTTTAAATCGACTTTTGACTTATCTTTTGCTTCATAAATTAATTTCGACTACATTTGTCGACCCGTACCAATGCATTTTTCTTTTTTTGTGTTTTTAAAGAATAGGAAACCTATTCTGGTGGGAGGCTACCAGTTTTTTTTAAATTCACTTTTGATTTTTTTTTTACTAAAT